AGCGCGTAAAAAAATGACATTAAATGTATGACGGATTGTACAGCGCCCCTAGCGGAAACTTTCAAGAACTAAAGTCTTCAAATATTTTTTTAACGCGCTCGCTAGTGACGACTTTTGATGTAAACTCACACTTAGACTAGGCGCAGACCATGGATTTTTAGTTGGCCGATAGTTGTGCCCGATTTTAAATTGTATGAAGAATCGGTCAAATCAAATCGGTGTAATGTGCGCACTTCCATACATGCCCATACTGATCGATCAACCCGACTAAACTATCGGCCGACGAAAAATCGATGGTCTGCGCCTAGGCCCTAGGCTAAGACCTCAGATCGTCGGTCTATTTAGTGGGGGCCTGCCCACACTACGTCTTCCGGTCCGTTGTCGCCACTTGAGAACTTTTCTGTCCCAAGAGGTTAGTGTAGTGTTATAATCGAGTGTATCGCTTGTTAATCGATAAGGAAAATGGAGCATAGACAAAGTTGGGTGATATCACTCCATCTTGAACTTGAAATGCTCGTGCAGTGGATAGTAAATAAATAAATAATAACAATAAATGTATTTTCGTAACTTAGTCTAATAATATACAGATAATGGTAGGAACTTCCCTTTAGGCAAGACATTGCCTGTGTTGGGAAGAACCGCTCCTCTTCACAATTATTCACTTAATTAGTAAACTAAGTTAATGTAAATCCGTATAATAATATGCGCTACATGCGCTACGTTTGATGCAACAGTTCATTTATTTATTTGCATTATAAGTACCACGCTCTCGTGTGTGTGTGTATAGTGTACTGACTTTTTAAATTCATTCAGGGAAAAGGAAGAGTTTTTTTTTAAAGTAATATCGTCTCGATAATTTTATAATTGGCTCCATGATGCCGCATAAAAACATACTCTTTTATAATGCGAACAGCTAGGGACTGGAATTCTCTGCCTGCTGCTGTCTTTCCCGAACACTATAATCCAGGCCTTTTCAAGGCCAGAGTTAATAGGCACTTACAGGGCAGATATGTACCATCCTAGACTGCATCCCACTTAACACCAGGTGCGATAGTGGTCAAATACTTATCCTGTTAATTATTTTGCCCCTCACTTGTAGCGAGAGAGACTTGACATTTTTTTGGAAATTATTTTAGGTACAGTAGCATACCAGACTTTAAATATTTTTTTAGCAAAATCTCACCCATTACAACGTCTAACAAAGTTGCGTGACAATAGATACCCTCCTCCCATCGCCCCGTCCTACTTCCTCGTGCAAGAACCCACCACCAATAACGCAAACGTGAGCTCGTAAGTTTACTTTACTCTAGACTCGTAGCGCTTGGTCAGAGTAAATACAAATGAGTAGGTCATCTTCATAGAAACGCACCGAGCGCGGTTTGTATGTGAGCGCGCCAATACGTATGCGGCGCGCACGCACACACTGACAAAATTTGGCGCAACACCCCGCTAATCCACGCTAAATTTTGTCAGTGTGCGTGCGCGAATTGGCGCGCTCACATACAAACCGCGCTCGGTGCGCTTCTATGAAGATGACCTACTCATTTGTATTTACTCTGACTTGGTTTACGGTTTACATGAGTATATTTTAGAATAACGTGTAGTTTAGTAGGATAGAGATAAACAGTTGAATTAGGAAGTATTAGATACATAATTATGTTATCCTGTTGTAGAAATATGTAAAAAAACACATCTTAGTTTTTTTGAAGTCTTAAAAATTAGTAAAGTTTAATACATTTTTAACAGTGTTTTTGTGATTTTTGTGTATTTATGTATACTTTATTTTTTAATTAATTACAGTGTTTCTTGTCTTGTAATCTAGATTCGATTTGAAATAACTAGTTTTTACACCCTGTATTTCAATTTGTTTCTCTTTCCAGCACAACGGAGATGATCAACGTGAATCCGCGCACGCCGTACTCTTAAACTAAAGAGTTGGAACAAACTACCTCCTGTATATGCACCTCACTTCAGGGCGGTAAGATAACTTAGTATCACTTTAGAAAAACGCATTTTAAGTGTATTTGTGTTGAAGACTAGCCAAAAATCGATTTTTGTACTTACGTTCTTATGTTTTGTGGCATAAGCATCAAAATCGAACTGCAACAGGGTTGATTTGAAATTGTCTGTACGAAGTCTATGTTCCGATACGTCTACGCATATTCCATCGAACGTTGGTTTAAATTGAAATAATATTGTACCAAAGTGGCACGCATTGGCTTCAATAATTTTCACCAGCACTATTTACCGCGTATTTGTCTTTTTTCTCGCCTTAGATCGTGTCACTACAAAAAAGTTGGCATTGATAGTTGGACGTTCGATCAATTTCCAATATGTGTTTCATACGATGGTGTATTGGCTCCAAACACAAGTACATGACACAGCAAGATGAACCAACATTGGCTGTTGAAAAATAACATAGACAAGTTTCAGTTCAGTACGGAAGAATAAAATTATCGAACTTTTAAGAAAGAAGAGGCTAGCAGACATTATTTTCTACTATTTGTTAGTATTTATTGTTTAAAAGAACTCGCAAAAGTTTCAGATGCCAAAACTGTTGCAAGTAGCCAAATGGAAAAAATATATAAGAGTTTGACTACTAAATGATAATAATAATAGACAAAAAAGAACAAATCACTGTAGTTAAACACTTGACAAAACTGTTAGTTTTTTAGAAATTCTTCGCTTTTTTCCCACTTAAAATGAGGATAAACTATTGCATTAGAAATATTTTGATATCAATACATAGTAGATGTTACAAGTTACTAATTATAAGTTTGTTATTTAATTAACAAAGTATTGTGATAGTCTTTAACTGTTATGTTTCAGTATTTTTGTTATTTTAAGTTTTTTGGAATTTTAAATCTACATATAAAATATTTCGGTTGTAAACGATCTTACTTCGTAATAACTTTCCATGTATTAACTTTACGAAACTTATAAATATAAGTGAGTGCAAAATACCAAGCATTAAAAAAATACGAGACATACGCGTATCTACAGGATGTTAGGTAAATTGTCAATGTCATGCAAAATAAATTTTATAAAATCCGATTTGTATGAAAATTTAAATAATTAAAATGAAGATATCAATTTTCTGACTTCACCATACCATTTATATGCCCATGTTAACATGGACTAGTGTCGGCTCATATACCCATTTACCTAACATCCTGTATATGTGCCCTTATCAAAATCCACCAATTACAAAATATTTCAGATCTAAAATAGTATTTTTATAGAATCCCATTAGAATGATATACATAAATATTGGTGTCAGCTATCCAATTGCGCAAAAAATTAAAGGTCCATCTGTTCACAAACCTTTTGTTATTATACGGTATGAGATTAGAATGTGTACATAAAAATATTGTGCGTATTATTTCAAGTAATATAATATTGGATATTAAAATAACTAAAACTTCAAAACAACTTCATTTTCATATTTAATAGTATGATATCGACATATAAATGTTATTTATATTTGTATTAATTATAAAGCTAAGTGCCTTGAATGTTTTTAAAATATATTTATTAATATTGAATACATTGTAACGAAATACGAAACGTACCTATTTATTAATTTTGAAATTAGATCGGAAACTAATGTAGATCGTTTCATCCAGAAAGACGCGCGGGGTGCGGGGAGTTTTATCCGAGCAATCCGAGCGTCATTATTGTAGTGTGCGTGTGCAGTGCACTCATGGATAATTTAGCGTGTACCTACCGATAACACTCAAAACATTAGCGGAAGAATGGTGGGGCGCGTCTTCGTGGATGAAACGATCTATATCAGTGTATTTATCTTAAATTACGTGTTTAGGTCTATTGCACCAATTTATATGGCATTTACTGTTGTCGTCTATTTATGTACTATCTGATGTAGTTCTCGCTAATTAAAATAAATGTCTTAGAAATATAAAATTGTTTTATTTTTCATTTATTGTGAGTTATTTGTTCACGTTGTACACAAAGTACAAAGACAATGGTAATATTCTTTACTTATTTATAACTGCGAGTAAAAAAAGATAAAGTTCGAAAACCATACAAACATTTTAAGAAAAATTCACGCCTGTATTCACCAACATTACTATGAGGTCTCACAGTGCGCGTGGACGCGGCCACACGAACCAATCACAGAGCCTTATTCTACGCTGTGCGTTCGATTTGCTGCTTCACTTATGCAAGCATCGTTTGTGAATACGGGCGACTACCGACTTAAAACATTTAGCATATGGGATAAAAAATATTTAATTGCCCAAAAGATTCAACGAAAGATATGAGAAGTAATTCGCCAACATTGGCTTATTAATGCCAATCATTAGATTATTTAATCGTTTCTGATAAGGGCGGTAATTATAATGCCGCATGCCGCTAAATTGGCGCTCAATAAACGTGGATCTCGCATGCTTAATGTTATCTTAACAAATAATATAAGCAGGGATGTATTCAGGTTTTTTAAAAGTTACAGAGTTGTTGTATGTTAAAGTTTGCTACTAATGTTAGTAAATTCTCGGATGCAGTGTGTCTAACTAATGTAATGTAGGTAATAATAGTTATCGAAATTACTGTTATTATAAATAATAAATGTAACTTTATTTGTCTTTACAAAAATACTTATTACACAGAACACAGGATAATATACAATTTTATTTTATTTTATACAGGATAGTAATAATTAAGTTTTTTGTCGACTGGTGTATGAAAACTATTTTTCGGTATATTTACCGAAACATATTTTCATAGTAGGTATTCTAAGGTAAATACTAAACTAAGGTAAGGAAAATTCGGAGTTTTAGATACCACCAGTCGTCTGAAGTGTAATCGAAAAATACCCAAATAATACATTTCATAAAACATTGCTAATTTACCTTAGTACGGCACTGTGGTGATATAATATAGCAATAATGATTATTTTATTGATTTACGATTTCGATAACAATCATTTTATTTCATTTTTATTCAGGAAATAGGTGGTACTGTCCCCTATTTCACAAGATTTTGTTTGTTTAAGTAGTTGTAAAAAATAAGATGGGTTTAGTTGTCCTTTTGGGCATATTAGCATTAGGATTCGGGGCAGTGACATCGCAAAATACAGATGGATTATATGAGCTGAATATAGTTCATTTTAATGATTTTCATGCACAGTAAGTATAACCCTTTTCATTATTTTTATAGTGTGCCTTTTATGCCGAAATTTTACTTTTGAAGAAATGGAGGAAGCGTTGCAAAAAGACGGACGACTTTGTCTCCACATTACATAGTTTTAAAGTTTCTATTCAATGTGTATTATATTGTTGTAAGGGTATTTTTAAGTCCGAAGCAAATTAAAAGCATTGCAGAGGAAATGCACGGGCGCGTTTTTAAAAGTTTTGTTTATAATTTAGAGTTCTTAATTACTTGAGTTGAATTATCGCAGAAAGACGTGCGTTGCGCGCTTTAAACAATCAGAATAAAAACTAATCCTATGCTTTTCCTTGGGTAAAACTATCAACTCTACCCTAAATTACATCCAGAGAGATAGAGTTCCTTTTGAATCTATAATATTAGTATGTACTAGCGGCCGCCCGCGACTTCGTACGCGTAGATCCCGTTTTACCCCCTTCATCTATCTTACGCGGTTTAGATTTTTTCATACAAATTTTTTTTCCCGCTAACTCCCGTTCCCGTGGGAATTTTGGAATATCCTGTTGTAACTAAGCTTTAAGTTTACTAAGGTACCTGCATGCCAAATTTCAAGCGTCTAACTTAAGCGGTTTAGATTTTTCATACAAATGGATTTTCCCGATAATTCCCNCCGACACTAGCCCATGTTAACATGGTCATATAAATGGTATGGTGAAGTCTGAATTTTGATATCATCATTTTATTTTTTTTTATTTTCATACAAAATAAATTTTATAAAATCCGATTTGTATGAAAATTAAAATAATTAAAATGAAGATATCAATTTTCTGACTTCACCATACCATTTATATGACCATGTTAACATGGGTTAGTGTCGGCTCATATACCCATTTACCTAACACCCTGTATAATATTAGTATGTATTATTATAAACTAAATAAATACTATAAATGTGTCCAAAACAACAGTTTTGACGAAGTCAGCCCCGAAGGCACGGCGTGCAACCCATCAGAGGCGCCGTGCGTCGGGGGCTTCGCGCGACTGTACACCGCCGTCCAGCAGTCCTTAGAGGCGGAGCCCGAATCCATTGTACTCAACGGAGGAGACACCTTCCAAGGCACTATCTGGTACAACTTCCTGAGGTGGAACGTCAGCCAACACTTCATGAATTTGCTGCCTCATGACGCCCATGTGAGTTGTTAAAAACTTAAAAGTATTTTCAGTGGTCTTTGCTGAATGCTGTTAAACTTTGAATTTCAGACTACTTTACCGCCTTGTTAATTACATTCTTTTGAAATTTTGCTGTATTGCAAAGTGAAAAATATAATTTCAATCCACGTTGTGCGATTTGAATTATTTATCAAAATAAATTGCCTATCTCAGTGAGGTATAAACATACTGTTAGGAAGTACATTGTATACATTTTAGAGATGGGTTATACTAGGTAAATTTGATACTAGGTGCACCTATTCCTAGTATTTATTAATACTCGATCCAAATACCTGTTCCACCTAGTACGTAGTATTTTAGCATACTTGACGCGACTAGTGCGGACTAATCCACGTAATATGACTTTCAAATACAATTTTCTTTGAAAAGATACAACCGTAGTATGAATAATGCAATTTGAAATTGAATAATAATTCCTCCCTTCATACTTCAACAGGCTTAGGACTGTCAACTTAAAAGTTGGCGTATTTAAAAGATATCAATTTCATAAAAATATTTACATATTTTTTCTTATTTACATGAATATGGTTTGACTACGTTTGTGTGCGTTTGCTTCGTCGCGCTCAAATTTGTTTGGTCAGACAGAGACGGAGTGAATCTCTACGTTCGCACATAAGCTTAGCGAGAAATACTAGGTGCGCGTAATATACGACTACGGATTACGCAATAATAACCTCTATTACTTTGACGGTAGGGTCGGAAATCGTGTAATTTATAAAATACTAGGTGGATCAAGTATTTTAAAAATTGGAATAGGTGCCGCCTAGTACTGTAAAATACCTAGTGTGTGGATCTGTTCTAGTAAATACGTCTCATCTCTAATACATTTAGTATATCTTTGTGATGATAACACAACCGGAAAAACCGTACGTAGTAGGTACCTTCTGTAAAAGTACATACGTACCGTTTTATCGAGGGGAATTCCCAGACCCCTAGTAGATCCAGATACAATACTAATAAAATCAGTTTTTCAAGATATTTGATAACAACAACTATTCTTACTATTACTAGGTACTAGGAAACCATGAGTTCGATCACGGCATCGAAGGCTTGCTGCCTTACCTGGAGAGACTGAACGCTCCTATGCTGGGCGCTAACGTAAACTCTACCTTCGAACCTGAGATAGGGCAGTACATTAAGAACCACGTCATAATCACTCGCCAGGGAAGACGGATCGGCATCATTGGAGTGCTGTTGAGAGTTGTAAGTACTTATTTAAAGCGTCATCAGCTTCTATTATTCGAAGGCTTGCTGTCTTATCCGGAGCGCCTGAACGTTAACGTCAACTCGACTTTCGAGCCTGAGATAGGGCATTAGATCAAGAACCACGTCATAGTAACTCGCTAGGGAAGGAGGATCGGCATCATTGGAGTGCCGTTGAGAGTTGTAATTATATACCTTAGGTTTAAAGCATCATCAGCTTCTATTATCGAAGGCTTGTTGCCTTACCTGGAACGTCTGAACGCTCCCATGTTGGGCGCCAACGTCAACTCAACCTTCGAACCTGAGATAGGGCAGTACATCAAGAACCACGTCATAGTCACTCGCCAGGGAAGACGGATCGGCATCATTGGAGTGCTGTTGAGAGTTGTAGTACTTACCTTAGGTTTAAAGCGTCATCAGCTTCTATTATTCGAAGGCTTGTTGCCTTACCTGGAGCGTCTGAACGCTCCCATGTTGGGCGCCAACGTCAACTCAACCTTCGAGCCTGAGATAGGGCAGTACATCAAGAACCACGTCATAGTCACTCGCCAGGGAAGACGGATCGGCATCATTGTAGTGCTGTTGAGAGTTGTAGTACTTACCTTAAGTTTAAAGCGTCATCAGCTTCTATTATTCGAAGGCTTGTTGCCTTACCTGGAGCGGCTAAACGCTCCTATGCTGGGCGCTAATATCAACTCGACTTACCTTAGGTTTAAAGCGTCCATCAGCTACTATTTTATTCGTCGAAATTGAACAAACTTTACACACTTCCAAGAATGTGAACTACCTATTGCCCGTATTCACAAACGTTGCTTGCTTAAGTGAAGCAGCAAATCGAACGCACAGCGTTGAATAGAGCTTTGTGATTGTTTCGTGTGTCACCCTGTGCGTCCACGCGCACTGTGAGACCTCATAGTAATGTTTGTGAATACGGGCGTATGTGAAATTAATGATTATTTTGTATAGTTTTCAGCTCCAATCGGAGATCTGATCATCGAAGATGAGGTGACGGCCATCAACAGGGAAGCGGCCATTCTGACCGAGCAGGGCGTCGACATAATCATTGTTCTCTCGCACGTTGGCTTCGACTCCGACTTGTAAGTTTACCTTAAAAAATCTGTAGAGTAATGTAACAAATCGACAGATCAATCAATGTAGGTAGTGTAGTTGATAGAGCAGTTACGGCGTGCGCGCACGCGTGACTTTTGTCACCGTTTCAATATGTCTCTCTTTTTCTCTTTATAAAAGTCTAAAAGAAAAAGGTATACTGTCACGGTGACAAAAAGGTGCAAAGTCATCCGTGCGCGTATAGCTTACTCGGCAAACGAAATGTCGTGGCGTCACAAAATTCACGTCATAAATATATGTCGGTACTTACATATTTTATATAGGCAGATTGAACTAAACACTAGCATCATAAGCTAATTTGCAACAAAAATTTACTGTAATGTACTTGTTGACAAATCAAGGTTTTCCACAGGAACATGGCCCAAAGGGTGTCTGCAGACGTAGACATAATCGTGGGAGCTCACTCTCACACGTTCCTGTACACCGGCGAGCCTCCGAGCACCCACACGCCTTTCAGCGACTACCCTACGGTCGTTACACGCACTGACGGGCATAGGGTAACGCAACCTTCAAATGTTCTTGTATTCATAGTTGGCAACACAGGATTGTATTCCATATATACAGGATCCCTCGGAATTAAAGGCAAAATGCATGTGCGAACAGGGGCCTGGTCCCCCTGAAAAAGAACCCTAGATACGCCAATGAAAAAAATTTAGGTTAGGAATTTATGGGCGGGCCATTTCTAGGAGGGAATGTCACCAGATTTCGATTTTCCTTTTTTGTAATTCTTTGCACAAGGAACTTTTAGACTTTTTTAATAGGAGGATGTCCCCAACAGCCAAAGCTGAAGTAATGGATTCAATTATAATTGATAGCACATGATCTATGACGACATTTATTTATTTAGAACTTACATGCACATAACACTGTACATAAAGCAGACTTAATTGCCAGTTGGCATAAAATTGGATAGAATATAAATTGTTTTCGCTAAAATGCCACCTGCCGCCTTTGCCATGCTAAAGTTCGCAGTAGCTTTGTTGAAGTGTTTTCTTCGCCTCAAGTTGTGTCATCTATTTTATTTTTTATACAGATTCCCGTGGTGCAAGCGTCTTGTTACACGCGGTACTTGGGCAACATCAAGCTATTCATCGACGACAACGGCATCGTGCAGGGCTGGGAAGGCCAGCCTATTTTCCTGGGCACGTCCATCATTCAAGGTAAAGCCCTACTAATTAATAAATGCGAAAGTAACTCTGTCAGTGACGCTATCACGCCTAAATGTTTTTCATTAAACTACCTTAAAATTCTCTGATATTTTACAAGGCGTCATCAAATCCCAAAATACAGGGTGTTCCAAAAACCTTGCAACCATCGTTAGGCCTTCGCATTTTTAAAGTTTTTTTTTGTATTTTTAGAAAATGTCTGTACAACCTGTATGTAGTAGGTAAACAAAGCATCATAGACAACATCAACCGCCAGAGCAACCAAAGTAATCGACAATAAGATTTTTTATAACATTAAGGAAATTTCTACACATTAAAACGATTTCTAGATCCACAAATGGTGCTAGAACTACAGCCGTGGAAGGAGAGTGTAGACGCGGTGGGCAAGGAAGTGCTGGGCGTGTCTCTGGTGACGCTCAACCGCTCGTGGTGCCGCGGCCGCGAGTGCAACATGGGCAGCTGGGCCTGCGACGGCTTCCTGGAGGAGGTAAGGTCATCTACCTGTCAGAAGAGGTCTTTTAGCATTATCTAAGGCCTACACGACAGCTTGAAGCAGCTGTATCGACAGCTTCAAGCTACTACTGCATAGCAAACGAAGAGTACAGTGTTCTACTTACATTCACGAAACCGCTCGAGGAGTTGTGGCTGCTTGACATGGGCAGCTGGGCCTGCGACGGCTTCCTGGAGGAGGTAAGGTCATGTACCCACCAGAAGAGGTGTTATAGCACCATCTAAGTTAGCAAATGGTGCTAGAACTACGTGACGTATAAGAAAGACGTGGAAGGAAGTCTTGGACGTGTCTCTAAGATGTAATAGGATCATCTACCTACCAGAAGAGGTATTATTTTAACATCATCTAAGGGCTGCCAATCCTGCCGTATACGAACAGCTTGAAGCAGCTGTATAGACAGCTTCAAGCTGTGACTACATATACTAGAAAACTACGAGTACAGTGTTCTACTTACATTCACGGAACCGCTCGAGCAGTTGTGACTACTTAGGGCGGTTCGCAGCACGGAAATTTCATCTTGCGATCGCCAGGCATATACTGACTGCGATAGATGTCGACTGCTCTCGCGCAGTACCTCAAATCTCCACCCGTACTCTTCATTTCACGTCGCGCGCGCTTGTGACTTGTAGAGCAGTTAATAACAACTGCCCCAGCAGCTATCAATGGCAACTTCAAGCTATCAACTATGACAGTTACCTCCGCCCGCGCTCTTCATTCCACGTCGCGCGCGCTTGTGACTTGTTGAGCAGTTAATACCAACTGCTCCAGCAGTTATCAAAGGCAACTTCAAGCTATTAACTATGACTGCAAGAGCAGGCCGTGTATGGCAGGTCTAAGTAACAGTCAAGTAAATGGTGCTAGAACTACAGCCGTGGAAGTAGAGCGTAGACGCGGTGGGCAAGGAAGTGCTGGGCGTGTCTCTGGTGACGCTCAACCGCTCGTGGTGCCGCGGCCGCGAGTGCAACATGGGCAGCTGGGCCTGCGACGGCTTCCTGGAGGAGGTAAGGTCATCTACCTGTCAGAAGAGGTCTTTTAGCATTATCTAAGACCCACACGACAGCTTGAAGCAGCTGTATCGACAGCTTCAAGCTACTACTGCATAGCAAACGAAGAGTACAGTGTTATACTTACATTCACGGAACCGCTCGAGGAGTTGTGACTGCTTGACATGGGCAGCTGGTAAGCAGGAGGAGGTAAGATCATCTACCCACCAGAAGACGTGTTATAGCACCATCTAAGTTAGCAAATGGTGCTAGAACTAAAAAGAAAGCCGTGGAAGGAAAGCGTGGTGTGAAAGGAAGTCTTGGACGTATCTCTAAGATGTAATTGGATCTACCTACCAGAAGAGGTAATCTACATCGCATCTCATCTACGTTATAAGGTAGCAATTCGTAAAACTATTTTTAAGCAATTTACCGCGAAATACTAATGAATGGAGGGTGTGTAACGTTTCTTTGTTTGATAAGCGTTTAAGTAAATAATTAGTTTATCAGCCGTTTTATCTATATTGTGTGATAAGTTAGTCTTATTAAATTAGCAGGAATTTGTTTTTGATATTGTTATCTACATTTAAAATTTTAGCAATCTAATTTGGAATTTGAACTATTCCATAAAATAGAATAACGCCTGTATAGAGCTCTGTGATTGGTTCATGTGTGACTCTGTGCGTCCACGCGCACTGTGAGACATAGTAATGTTTGTGAATACGGGCGTTACTTCTTGTACTATTGTTGTATGTATATTGAGAATATGTTTCTAGCTGATGTCCATGGCCACAGGCGACGAGTGGAACTACGCACACGTGTGCCTGATCAACTCCGGCGGCCTGAGAGTGCAGATCGCGCCGGGAAGTTAGTTTTTGACAAATATACCTACCATTTATGTAGATAGTACTTCTATAACCGGTGTTTTTTGTCATTTTTTAAACTTAATGTAAGATGGTGCAACCCAGGGTTGGTCTAAGTGGTAACTGGTGATCTTGAACTACTGGAAATCTACTTACATCTACTAGCAGTTTATATCTATTCACATCGTTTTGTAATAAAAGCCAAAAACAGCAAACAAAATGACTAAAATTCATTAAGGGAGCAATAGTTGTTTTCTTGTTCCTGGATGAAATGTTACCTATAGCCTGACCAGGAACATAAAAAACCCTCGCCATGTTGCGGAAAACTAATGGTACTAATTTCTTTTAATGGCAACAGTAACTGAAAACTTCATTGACATGTCACCTTGCATGTCAGTCTATTGTTGTCAAAGTGTAAACAAACTTTATTTTAAATGTGCGCTATTGATTTTGTGAATGAAATTGCTAAAATCTTTTTATAGTCGTGAAAGAAAAGTGGTTCTCAATGTGTTAAAGTATTTGTCGAAGAGAAATACCAAGGGTTCGGACAATATTTTCATTGAATAATGTTTCCAACAAAGGTTGTCAAATTGACTGACATGTTTATCGTATACACACACACATAGTACAGTCCACAAGAAAATTAGCTGTGGTTTGTTTCAACTACCTATTTTAAAGTTTTTTGTCACTTTCTAAGTGTTGAATTTTATGGAATTGGGAAAGAAGTACCGAGTTTGAAGCGTTCATGAGCAGACATTTCAGTTGAATATTCAAGTTCTGAATTTGATTATTGATGAATAATAAAATAAATCTTACTAGCTCGATTGATGGTTACATTTAATTTATTTAAACCAGGTTACCTATAATAATACTTTTTCGTTAATTTATGAAAATATCAAATTAGCCCGTAATCCTGAATCGTGATACATAAAGTAAGCCTATTAATTTAACACAGGTACGACTGTACTCAAGTGTTGCACTATCAAATGCAATTGACGCGCCTCTATGCCAGGGTTTTTATGTTCCTGGTCAGGCTATAACCTTTTTTTTTTAAGAATAAGTACGAGGGGCTAACGGCCCCTCGTACTAAGCTAAAGGCAAATATGCTTGTAGCACGAGTGAGTGCACCACAAGAGTCCGGCGGGGACCGAACCCACGTTCCCCGGATCACAAGTCCGACCCGTTCACCGTTCGGCTATCGTGGTATTCGTGGTTAACCGTTAGCATCTCGTGTCACAGATGTAACAACAGAAGCCCTTCTGATGGCGATGCCGTTCGAGAACTACGTTCAAGTTTACGACCTGAAGGGCGAGTACCTGCTGGAAGCCCTGTAGTTCTCCGTCGCAGTGTCCGTGTCCAGCGGTAGCCTCGATACTGGACGGATGCTGCAGATTGGAGGTAAACAGGAAAAGCATCAATTTTGTCCCATTGAAGATCCCTCTCAATGGGATGGAATGGGAAAAAGTGAAATAAACTGGTTACAAAGACATGGATTTACAGTCGCGTTATGAAGAAAAAAATATTTTCAACTTTGCCAAATAATCGTGACGGAATAGCATACTGTCAAACAACTGTGAGAATTGGCGATAGCAGTAGGTATGCTGCGGCTAATAGGCAGTTGCTGACGTCACGATACAACACACACTATGAGAACGCTTTTTGGTTCAAGATAGAGAGATAGATGGATAACAAAGCACAATTCGGTTTATTCGACTGATCACCTGGGTAATCGAAGTGGAATACGGCCGAATACTGAAACGCCATTTAAATATTTGACGGCTTCTCAAATAGTTAAGCAGCTCCTAAACTTACATTTCGCATACTCAAAACAATATCTGAGCAGTTCTCAATTTTTAAGCACCTCTCAAATTAAGTTGCACTTAAACGAATTTTCGCATACTGAAACGCCATTCAACGCTAAGCATTACTCAAACAACTGTCAAATCGTCTTAAGCAGCTGTTAAATTTGAGAGTGCTTGCGCGGTATCTTAAATCCTATTCTTATACCTAAATCGACCTAAATAGTGGTAAATAATGTGTGTCATCGTTATCATTTCTTTCGAGCCTCGAGGAAATACCTAGATCTAATCGCAGGAACGCAATAAGGCTGAACGCTATTGAAAAATATTATAATAATGACATGCAATTCCGAGCGAGGTTCCGCGTCTCTAAAGAAACGGTGTTGTTTCTGGATTCATAATTTGGAAGCTCTTTGAAACCCCTCACCAAATGCCATACAACCAGTGGACCAAATACTTATTATAAGCTAGAACTACAGCCGTGGAAGGAGAGCGTAGACGCGGTGGGCAAGGAAGTGCTGGGCGTGTCTCTGGTGACGCTCAACCGCTCGTGGTGCCGCGGCCGCGAGTGCAACATGGGCAGCTGGGCCTGCGACGGCTTCCTGGAGGAGGTAAGGTCATCTACCCACTTGAAGAGGTCTTTAGCATCATCAAAGGCCCACACGACAGCTTGAAGCAGCTGTATCGACAGCTTCAAGCTACCACTGCATAGCAAACGAAGAGTACAGTGTTCTACTTACATTCACGGAACCGCTCGAAGAGTTGTGACTGCTTGACATGGGCAGCTGGGCCTGCGACGGCTTCCTGGAGGAGGTAAGGTCATGTACCCACCAGAAGAGGTGTTATAGCACCATCTAAGTGCAAATGGTGCTAGAACTACGTGATGTATAAAAAAGACGTGGAAAGAAGTCTAGGATGTGTCTAAGATGTAATAAGATCATCTACCTACCAAAAGAGGTATTATTTTAGCATCATCTAAGGGCTGCCAATCCTGCCATATACGAACAGTTTGAAGCAGCTGTATAGACAGCTTCAAGCTGCTACTGCATAGCAAACTACGAGTACAGTTGTGACTGCTTAGGGCTGTTGGCAGCACGGAATTTTCATCGTGCGATCGCCAGGCATATACCGACTGCTATAGATGTCGACTGCTCTTCATTCCACGTCGCACGCGCTTGTGACTTGTTGAGCAGTTAATACCAACTGCTCCAGCAGTTATCAATGGCAACTTCAAGCTATTAACTAAGACTGCAAGAGCAGGCCGTGTATGGCAGGTCTAAGTAACAGTCAAGTAAATGGCGCTAGAACTACAGCCGTGGAAGGAGAGCGTAGACGCGGTGGGCAAGGAAGTGCTGGGCGTGTCTCTGGTGACGCTCAACCGCTCGTGGTGCCGCGGCCGCGAGTGCAACATGGGCAGCTGGGCCTGCGACGGCTTCCTGGAGGAGGTACGGTCATCTACCTGTCAGAAGAAGTTTTTTAGCATCATCAAAGGCCCACACGACAGCTTGAAGTAGCTGTATCGACAGCTTCAAGCTACTACTGTATAGCAAACGAAAAATACAGTGTTCTACTTACATTCACGGAACCGCTCGAGGAGTTGTGACTGCTTGACATGGGCAGCTGGGCCTGCGACGGCTTCCTGGAGGAGGTAAGGTCATCTACCCACCAGAAGATGTGTGATAGCAAATGGTGCTAGAACTACGTGACATGTAAAAGAAAGACGTGGAAGGAAAGCGTGGTGTGAAAGGAAGTCTTGGACGTGTATCTAAGATGTAATTGGATCTACCTACCAGAAGAGGTAATCTACATCGCATCTCATCTACGTTATAAGGTAACAATTCGTAAAACTATTTTTTAAGCAATTTACCGCGAAATACTAATGAATGGAGGGTGTGTAACGTTTCTTTGTTTGATAAGCGTTTAAGTAAATAATTAGTTTATCAGCCGTTTTATCTATATTGTGTGATAAGTTAGTCTTATTAAATTAGCAGGAATTTGTTTTTGATATTGTTATCTACATCTGAAATTTCAGCAATCTAATTCATTACCTACGTCCTACTACCGATATTTAAAATATGTCTGTTTTTAGTTGATGTCCATGGCCACCGGCGACGAGTGGAACTACGCCCACGTGTGCCTGATCAACTCCGGTGGCCTGAGAGTGCAGATCGCGCCGGGAAGTTAGTTTTTGATGAATATACCCTTTATCTAGTAGTTGATTTATTCCCTAAATATTTTGAACTTTGTTAAGTTGTGATAAACTAAACGATGGCTTACTATAACAATATTTGTTTGTGATATTTGTGAGTCTAATTGGGAGTGGTAGCTGGTGATCTTGAACATGGGAAATGGTATTAGCCAAAAGGTCTATAATTTTTTCTACTATCCTGGGTTAAGGATAAGAATCTACTTACATATTTTTGTATAAAAGCCAAAACAGCAAAGAAACTGACTAAAATTCATTAAGGGAGCAATTAGTTGTTTTCTTGTTCTTGATTGAAATATCTAACCGCTAACATCTATGTCGCAGATGTAACAACAGAAGCCCTTCTGATGGCGATGCCGTTCGAGAACTACGTGCAGGTTTACGACCTGAAGGGCGAGTACCTGCTGGAAGCCCTGGAGTTCTCCGTCGCAGTGTCCGTGTCCAGCGGTAGCCTTGATACTGGGAGAATGCTGCAGATTGGAGGTAAAACAGAAAAAATACTACGTTTCTTCATTGAAGACCCCTCTTAATGGGGAAATTGTAATAACCCTCCTAAAATCTGGATTTACAGTCGCACACGTTGCGTTATTATGAATAATTTTTTTTTCAACTTTGCCAAAAAATCGCGACGGAATAGCATACTGCCAAACAACTGTCAGAAAGCGATAGCAGTATGCGGCTGATAGGCAGTTGCTGACGTCACGATCCAACACACTATAGGAACGCGTTGATCGTTAACGGAGCACAATTCGTTCTATTCCACTTTAATCACATCGCGGTATCGATATAGATCGTTTCATCCACGAAGACGCGCCCCACCAATTTTTGGTCGAGGGTAGCGGAGGTGCGGGGAGTTTGATCCGAGCAATCCGAGCGTCATTATTGTAGTGTGCGTGTGCACTCATGGATAATTTAGCGTGCACCGATAACACCCAAACATTAGCGGAAGAATGGTGGGGCGCGTCTTCGTGACCTATGACCATTATTTAGGAAAATAATGACTAACATTTATTCCAAAGGGATGCGCGTAATGTACAACATATCGCAGCCGATCGGCTCGAAAGATCTATGACCATTATTTAGGAAAATAATGACTAACATTTTTTCCAAAGGGATGCGCGTAGTATACAACATATCGCAGCCGATCGGCTCGCGAGTGGCGTCGGCTAGGATCAGGTGCATCGACTGCGACGTGCCCGAGTATCTACTACTCGACGTCAACGCCACCTACCGCGTCGTATCACAGGACTATATCGGCGAGGGAGGCAGCGGGTTCACGGTAATTAGCACTTTACTGACACTTGATAAGGATGCGTTTTGATGAGCGAGTTAAAATAATTTCCATGGAAGCTGGGGTAGGGCTACCCTACCTAAGATCAGGTGCATCGACTGCGACGTGCCCGAGTATCCACCACTCGACGTTAACGCCACCTACCGCGTCGTATCACATGACTATATCGGCGAGGGAGGCAGCGGGTTCACGGTAATTAGCACTTTACTGACACTTGATAAGGATGCGTTTTGATGAGCGAGTTAAAATAATTTCTATGGAAGCTAGGGTAGGGCTACCCTACCTATAAGATTAGATACATCGACTGCGACGTGCCCGAGTATCTACCACTCGACGTCAACGCCACCTACCGCGTCGTACTATATCGGCGAGGGAGGCAGTGGGTTCACGGTAAATAAGACTTTAGGGATACTTGAATAAGGATGTGTTTTGATGAGCGAGTTAATATAATTTCCATGGAAGCTGGGGTAGGGCTACCCTACCTATAAGATCCGGTGCATCGACTGCGACGTGCCCGAGTATCTGCCGCTCGACGTCAACGCCACCTACCGCGTCGTATCACAGGACTATATCGGCGAGGGAGGCAGTGGGTTCACGGTAATTAGCACTTTACTGACACTTGAAAAGGGTGTGTTTGATGAGCGAGTTAAAATAATTTCCATGGAAGCTGGGGTAGGGCTACCCTACCTAAAATCAGGTGCATCGACTGCGACGTGCCCGAGTATCTACCGCTCGACGTCAACGCCACCTACCGCGTCGTATCACAGGACTATATCGGCGAAGGAGGCAGCGGGTTCACGGTAAATAAGACTTTACTGTTACTTTAATAAGGATCTGTTTTGATGAGCGCGTTAAAATAATTTCCATGGAAGCTGGGATAGGGCTACCCTACCTAAGATCAGGTGCATCGACTGCGACGTGCCCGAGTATCTACCACTCGACGTCAACGCCACCTACCGCGTCGTATCACAGGACTATATCGGCGAGGGAGGCAGCGGGTTCACGGCAATCATGTAAAATGTATTCTTTTGGAAGTTGATGTGGCGCCACCTTGCGGTAGAAAAAAAATCGGATTAAAAAAAACAACAACTAGAGTCTGACCTCACTAATAATAGAACTCAGAAATAATAAAATTATACATGCGTTGTTGAACATAAGTATAAAGCGTTCCACGAATAATTTTATTGCATTTGCAAATGAAGCGACTCTCGAATAAATAACTTGTTCTAGTACCCATAGTACAAGCTTTACTTAGTTTGGGGCTGGCGGCGCAGTGCAAAATGTCCATGGATATTTATATTTATTTATTTATATTATGTAAGACGCGTGTAAGTTTTTTCGGGTTTAGTTTTCTGTCACTTGCCATGATCCTACACAAATTCTCCATCACGTGCTCAGTTATTTCGTAACATTTCAGATGTTGGCCGAGCACAGGGAGAATCTAATCCGCATGCAAGTAGACTACGTGTTAATGCAGGACCACATGCGGCGACAGGGCACCGTCGTGCAGGACCTCGACGGACGCATACAGGTCGTCACGTGAACGACAATATTCCACGATTAAACTATGATCTTAAGCAATATAATACTATCAATACGATCACTTATCTTTTAATTATCTTCCCTTCCCCTGTAAACGACTACTGTGAGGGCCTTCAACACTTGATGAAAAAAGTTTATAATGCAGTTCTTATCTCTGCTGGTCTTGTAACTAAAACATAAAATAAGAACGCAGATTATTTTTATTTTTACGCCGTTTATTTCGTTCACAATTCTGCAATGGTCGCGCATGCATTATTCTAGCATTTTATAACAAAGGCGCATAGCAATTTCATTTTATTCTAATTTTTTTTTCTCGTTATTAAAATTCATTTTGAATCGAGCGACGACGAGTCCTGTGAATATCCGTAACTATGCACCTTTGAGATTATATTTACAACTTATTTATAACTTTAAACCCAATATTGAGTTCAGAAATCAGAATAGGTCGAGTTTGTTAATGTCATAATAATATTGTAAGTAAATTTTCTGTTTATCATTTTATAGTCCTTACTATTGCTAACGTCAAGATGTTATACTATCAACAACCTATTCCAATATACGATCACGATAAAAGATTGAACAATTAAAATCAAAATACTATTTACATAAAGGACCTAAAAAGTTTGAAATATCACGACGAGTTTTTATAACACACAAAAAATCAATTAAAATAAATTCTAATGCAGAACAAAACTCTTTATAACATAAAGTGATTTTACATTTTTTCAATATTTTTGCAGTTTTTTTTTCTAACGTTGAAACCAGAGGTGGAATTGTGTAAAGTAATCGTTATCATTTGACAGTTCATAACGTACGATTATTCTGTCAAACGCTTTGTTTAACTGACTTTATCGTACGTTATGAACTTTCAAATGATTACGATTGCTTTACACAATTCCACCTCTGTTGAAACAATGAAATTAAATTATAAACTAGGAACGGTTTTGCGTTAAATTATCAATAGATATGATATCAAATAACGAAATACGCAGTCAACAAATTAATCTGGTCGCTACAGCTAGCTGGAAGAACATGTTAAAATACACAAGTCGGTTATTGTCTATAATTCGTCTCTATCAACTGGCTCCAATGAAAGTATGGTTCCTTCAGGTAATAATAGTATAATATCTAGAATCTAGCTAGACAATACTATGAAAATTCCTGTATCCATGGCAGAAGCTGTTATTGGTCAATTTATTAAATATTCTACATAATATTATACTAACCCCTATTTAAATATTTTTCACAGCTATATTTTAACCAGAAATAGTTCACCTGTAAATGATCCAATTACATATTTGGGGTAATACATCATAATTTTGTGAATACATTAGTATATTACATATTGGATATGCTTAAAAAATAAGCAACTTATAAAATGTATTGCACTCATACTACGCAAATTTCTCACTCACAATTTTATTTATAATTTATTTATTGAAATTTTAAAATATAAAAGAAACATTTCGAAATTTTCAACGGTCTTCATTTATTAGAATTCACATGATCTCAAGTAAGCGTCATTTAAATATTAATCCATGTAGTTTTTGGGTTGAATTATCGTGAGACTGGTCGAGTTTTGATAGTACAGACGACGGCACATCAGCTTTTAATACTTATGTAGTGGTAATAGGTTCGAATTTTCAACTGAAAGTAGTGTGATGAGCCGTTGACTGTACCATCTAACATTGACCTAGCTCCACTTTTGGGATATCGTAGATGGGGAGGTCTTTCTTGAAAGCCTCCATGTCCATGATGAAGTTAGCGTTATTCTCGGGTGTGTCCCCGATAGGCTGGCTCGCGTCGAGGTATCTTNACTGTCAATTCGAATAACGGAATTTACTAACCAAAGATTAGAGAAACTATGTACCTGCTTAGTCTCTTATTTAGGGAAATAATAACGTTAATGTTTTGTTAAAGGGATGCGTGTAGTATACAACATATCGCAGCCGATCGGCTCGCGAGTTGCGTCGGCTAGGATCCGGTGCATCGACTGCGACGTGCCCGAGTATTTACCACTCGACGTCAACGCCACCTACCGCGTCGTATCACAGGACTATATCGGCGAGGGAGGCAGTGGGTTCACGGTAAATAATACTTTAGGGATACTTAAATAAGGATGTGTTTTGATGAGCGAGTTAATATAATTTCCATGGAAGTTGGGATGGCACCTCTTAGCGGTACGTAAATGAATGTTGTTGATTTATTCGTACTTTCGCGCTCATCAAAAATAATTGCATGCACCACGTAATCCACGCCAGTGTTAAAAAAAATTGCCATAAGACTTACTAGAGTTACTGCGTTGGAAACTTGTTTAACTGTAGGTCCAAATAAAAACACTCCCTTTCTCTGGATTAATTTTGTGGTCTAGCCTTATTACAAAAAGTGTTGAACATTAATATAAAGCGACCCACGAACAAATATTGCATTTGCAACTAATAAGTAACCGCGTGTAAATTTTTTCGAGTTTTCTGTTAGTTTCCATTGACTTCATAGACAAATTCTCCAACACATGCTCAATTCAATTCGTAACATTTCAGATGTTGGCCGAGCACAGAGAGAATCTAATCCGCATGCAAGTAGACTACGTGTTAATGCAGGACCACATGCGGCGACAGGGCACCGTCGTACAGGACCTCGACGGACGCATACAGGTCGTCACGTGAACAAAACAATATTCGAACAAACTATGATCTTAAGCAATATAATACTATCAATAAAATCACTTATCTTTTGATTATCTTCCCTTCCCCTGTAAACGACTACTGTGAGGGCCTTCAACACTTGATGAAAAAAGTTTATAATGCACTTCTTATCTCTGCTGGTCTTGTAACTAAAACATAAAATAAGAACGCAGATTATTTATATTTTTACGCCGTTTATTTCGTTCACAATTCGGCAATGGTCGCGCATGCATTATTCTAGCATTTTATAACAAAGGCGCATAGCAATTTTATTTTATACTATTTTTTTTCTCGTTATTAAAATCCATTTTGAATCGAACGACGACGAGTCCTGTGAATATCCGTAGCTATGCACCTTTGAGATTATATTTACAACTTATTTATAACTTTAAACCCAATATTGAGTTCAGAAATCATAGGTCGAGTTTGTTAATACGTCATAACAATATTTTAAGTAAATTTTCTGTTTATATCATTTTATAGTCCTTTTATTGCTAACGTCAAGATGTTATACTATCAACAACCTATTACAATATACGATTACGATAAAAGATTGAACAATGAACAATTAAAATCAAAATACTATTTACATAAAATGACCTAAAAAAGTTTGAAATATCACGACGAGTTTTATAACACACAAAAAATCAATCAAAATAAATTCGAATGCAAAACAAAACTCTTTATATCATAAAGTGATTTTAAATTTTTTCAATATTTTTGCAATTTTTTTTCTAACGTTGAAACCAGGTTGAAACAATCAAATTAAATTATAAACTAGGAACGGTTTCGCGTTAAATTATCAATAGATATAATATCAAATAACGAAATACGCAATCAGCAAATTAATCTGGTCGCTACAGCTAGCTGCCCCCCTAGACAAAACGCACTTTTTGATCGAATCGAAAATCGAATCCGTCAAAACTCCATACAAAAAAGGGGCTTTTCGACCACTTTTCGAGTGGTTTGCGATTATAATTTGCACTTTGTCTAGACCCACTGGAAGAACATGTTAAAATACACAAGTCGGTTATTGTCTATGCTTCGTCTCTATCAACTGACTCCAATGAAAGTATGGTTCCTTCAGGTAATAATAGTATAATATCTAGAATCTAGCTAGACAATACTATGAAAATTCCTGTATCCATGGCAGCTGTTATTGGTCAATTTATTAAATATTCTACATAATATTATACTAACCCCTATTTAATTATTTTTCACAGGTGGTAGCTATATTTTAACCAGAAATAGTTCACCTGTAAATGATTTTTTATAAGTTGCTTATTTTTTAAGCATATCCAATATGTAATATACAAAATGTATTCACAAAATTATGATGGGGTAATACGGTATTACCCCATCATAAATTCCACTCATACTACGCAAATTTCTCACTCACAATTTATAAATACTTTTGATGTTTATAATTTATTGAAATTTTGAAATATAAAAAAACATTTCGCAATTTTCAACGGTCTTCATTTATTAGAATTCACATGATCTCAAGTAAGCGTCATTTAAATATTAATCTATGTAGTTTTTGGGTTGAATTACCGTGAGACTGGTCGAGTTTTGACAGTACAGACGACGGCACATCAGCTTTTAATACTTATGTAGTGGTAATAGGTTCGAATTTTCAACTGAATGTAGTATGATGAGCCGTTGACTGTACCATCTAACATTGACCTAGCTCCACTTTGGGGATATCGTAGATGGGGAGGTCTTTCTTGAAAGCCTCCATGTCCATGATGAAGTTTGCGTTGTTCTCGGGCGTGTCCCCGATAGGCTGGCTCGCATCGAGGTATCTCAAGTTGTAGTTCTTCATTTGGTTGGGCGGTGATATCACTTTGTTGTCCACCTTGTTGCCCATCACCTAAAAAATTGGGCGTTATTAGCAACGGGCTAACGTGAATGAGTTTACAGCTGTCCATTTTGATTAATATGTTTTTGATTAATGATATCGTTTAAGATCCATCGCACTGAACTCAGTGGTAACCAAATGTATAATCGTTTCATCCACGAAGACGCGCCCCGCTCTTTTTAGTCGAGGGAAGCGCGGGGTGCGGGGAGTTTGATCCGAGCAATCCGAGCGTCATTATTGTAGTGTGCGCGTGCACTCATGGTTGATTTAGCGTGTACACTCAAACATTAGCGGAAGAATGGTGGGGCGCGTCTTCGGGATGAAACGATCTACTTGTATGAGATTGACAACTGAACGCGACTATACGCCACCTAGCGGGATACATTCGAAGAGTGGATCAGCGAGATTTCAGATGTGATTCAGACTTGTATGCTCTCTCAGGCCATATGTCACCACCTTTCAGGCATTCACTTATGCGCTAGGCCAGTAATTTTGTTACATTGTATTTTTTTGCAAGCATAGTGTCGTATCACACATGTAATTTTAATCTTACCTGGACGGAAAGTTTCCTGTATCGAGACCGGTTGCCGGTGGCGAAGTTGTTCTCGACGAAAGCCCTGATGTCGGATGTTTTGACCTGCTCTATGGCGTCCGCCTAGAGGAGAAGAAGTGAGTTTAACATTAGCTTCAAAACTTTTTAAACGGTTAGAAAAACTGATGTTATAATAGTATGATACTTACTTCAATGAAGTGCCTCTGGAATTCATATTCCATGCTCACAATCTCCCTCCAATTTCTTTCAACCTGTAATCAAAGAAAGTTTTAAACTTATTTAAGTTGATCATCACTCAGTAGTGGCCTTGTTATGTTATTTGACTCAGTGAAAGACGCCGATTTGTGGTATTAGTTTGGTTCATTACCCGGAGTCAGAGTAGAAAGAGCGCCATATTTTTATAAGAACAGTTAACAGTTTTATAGTCTCAGGATAGTGACTATTTACTTCTTGCAAGCACTATGATAAACAAGAAATCGATCTTGATTATCTAGTCTCGGTAGATGGCGCTG